CCCATAAATGGGAAAAAAATCTTAGTGAACTGTCCCTCAGACAAAGGACTTCTAAAACATATAAAGAATTAAAAAAAAACAGATCCCTAAAACTCAAAAGACCCAATCCAAAAGTGGGCATCTGAGATGAATACACAGTTCTCGGATGAAGAAATACAAATGGCAAATAAATACATGAAAAAATGTTCATCATCGTTAGTCATTAGAGAAATGCAAATTAAAACAACACAGAGAGGGGATGGGGATTTAGCTCAGTGGCATAAGCAGCTGCCTTGCAAGTAGGAAGTCGTGAGTTCAATCCCTGGTACCGATAAAAAGGAAAAAGACAAAAAAAAAAAAAAAAAAAAACCACAACACTGAGATTCCATCTCACTCCAGAAAGAATGGCCAGAGTCATTATAATAGCCAGTACTGATATACTACCATCTTACTCTGAAGTCCTACCATTCTCTTGTTCTTCTGTTTCCATTGGCTCTATCATGTTGTACCTTATTGGATTATATTATGTGTGAAAGTATAAACAAATTTCCCATGGAAAATGACAGAATATAATAGCCATTGTTTGTTTGCTGTTATTTGGTTCTGAAAACTCTGTACTACCCTCATTCTCTTGAATGTTTTTATATGTTTTGTACTATGTTTGATACTATTATATATGAAGTTATACTCTAATTCAAAGAAAGAGACATCGTGGTAGTTACTGTTAATTATGGGTTGTCTTCTGGTGAAATACTGTTTTGCTTACGTTGTTCTGTTCTGATCTGCTCTGTTGTGTCCTGTTTTATCTTAATCTCTTTAAAATAAAAAATGAATAAATTTATTAAGCTACACTTTAAAATTGTGTGGTGCTGGGGATCTGACCCAGGTAACATGAGCTTAAATACTACGCAGCTCCTCTTATGAGAAATCTGAGGTACAAATCGTTTAACAAGCCTAAGAAAAGACAGCCGAGTGGGCAGGGGTTGCAGCCCAGGGTTGGGTAAAAGGTGGATGGCGGGACCAGGGAGAGGGAGAGACGCGCGCTGCGGATGGAACGGGTGATGCAGGGAGGGGGAGAACGGAAGCAACCCGGATGCTCTGCGGCCGAACCAGGGGACCCGGCGTCCTAGGCTCCTCATCCCAAAGCACTTGCTTGCCACATGCAAGGCCTTTGTTTTGAGCCCCAGAAGGGCACGACAGAGACCACCGTGAAGTGTCCAAACCCCGATACTTCCTGGAGATGCCCATTTCCCATGTGTGCTGCTTGGTACCCGCAGGGCCTTTCTGCCAGGCAGTCGCCCACCACCCCACCACTAGACTGGCCCCAAGCAGGAGGCCACAGGGCTACAGTGAGGAGCACACAACAGGGAGACATGCAGTCATGGTCAGCAGGTGGTGGGGAGTCAGACCTGCAGAGGGGGAGGGGAGAGAAGGGGGGTGAAAAAGGGGGGAGAGGAGGGAGGGGGAGGGGAAGTGGCAGTGTTTCAGTCTCTCAAAGCAGCACAGGTGAACTTCAGCTCACAGTTGGTAGATGCTGCCATCAGCAGCTGCCTGGCTTCAAGGCAGGGCAGCCTGGCACTGGGGAACCCAGGAAGCTGAGCTGGAGAGAGGCCTGGGGAGCTGAGAAACCTTCCCAGGCCACAGTACCTCTGTGGCCCCACTTCTCACCAGACCTTACCCCAACAGCAAGCCCGAGATGAGCCCATAACCCGGTCACCTTCCAAAGCCCTGCCTGGGAGTGTCTGGGCTCTGGGGGGACATCTGGACAGAAGCAGAGCCGCCACAGTGCCCATGGCTGCAGCCAGAGGTCCCAGAGTGGAAGTAAAGTGGGTCCTGGCGGGTCCCTGGGCCTGAGTGCTCCTGCCCTTTGCTTCCCCCTGGTTCGCATGTCCTGACCGCGTTGTCAACACGGATGAGTGCACAGGGCATGTGTGCTGCTCGGTAGACTGCATGCAATCAAGAAGCCGCAGTGGTTTTTTCCAGCTCGCTCCACTCACGCTGAAATGACAGAGCACAAAGGTAAAAACAAAGCGTGGAACACACGGCACTGGCTGATGCAGGAGGCTCCTCTAAGATTGTGCTCACGGCATTACCCTAATCATGCCTTTTATGATGGGGGAACATCCAATCTGCAGCTGAATAATGGCTGAGTTACTGGGGGGGGGGCCTCCCCTAAAGCCCCATCCCCTTGTCTTAGTCATTTTTTACTCGTTACTGAGACAAAATACCTGAAGCCTAAAGTTGGGAAAGGAAAGGTTTATTTCTTACAGTTTTTGGAGGTTTCAGTCCACAAGGCAGGCGGGCATGGCTAGGCCACAGTTCATGGCAGCTGCAAACAGCAAGCAGGAACCAGCAAAGAGCAAGACTCACCTTCTTCCTGCCATTACATCACATCCTGGCTCCACCCCTTTGTGGGTGGAGCACTGACACCATCAATCCAAGCACTAGACAATGAACAAATAACAAATGCACAATTCAAACTCCTGAGGCCTGGGAGCCACAGACATAAACCATGACACCCCTCTAAGCTCCAGGCTGCCAGCCAGACTCAGACAGCTAACGGCTGCTCGCTGAGAAGCATGCGGGGTGCAGAACAGTTTCACTTGAACGCGAAACATCTCGTCTCTTCCGAAAGCCCAAAGAGCAGTGGCCTTGCACAGTGCGGCCCGAGCATGAAGCACGGGAGAGGTGGGCACCCGGAGTGGCTCACTGTTCTGCTCACTTGAGGTTCACTTTCTTCGCCCTCCCGTCCTGCCACTCACAACAGCATGTCCTATGAACCCCCAGGATCCATGCCACTTGCCTTTTTAGGGAGCCTGCATTAGTTTTATGCTCTTCTCACTCCGACTTCCACTCCTGAAAATACGGATTCTTTGGCAGAAATGCGATCCCACTTAGAACAGCACAGACGATATGAAAATTAACTTGTATAAATAGTTGAAGTGCATATGGGGTTCTTTTTTTAACTGGATTCATAATTCAGGAGCAAGTGACACCCAAATGGATACTGGGAAGGCTAAACCCTCTCTCACCAGGGCTGCCAGTGTTGCCAAATACTCAAGGCACAAAATAAGCCGGCTACACCGCCAAGGTGGGGCCTGCCACCTCCCTGGGCCACAGGCACAACCGTGGACAAGTGTTTCCAAGAGTATGGAATGCTGCCCAAGCTTAGACGCTGTGATTTCCTGGGCATCCATGGCTCCTTCTTCACTGTTTCAGAAGAGCCTTATCATGTGGCATCCGGAAGCTGTGACTTGGGACTGCAGGCCAGGGGTGGCTCCTCTGTGCTGCTGAGTGCTGGCTCCTCCCTAAGCCACTGTCAGTGAGGGTGGCTGGAGGACAGCCACCAAGGAGCTGGGGACAAGGTCCTCAGAGTGTACCTTCTCTCAAAGAGCAGTGAGGGTGGCTGTATGGGACCTCAAAGTAAACGCCTCTCACTCTCCCTGCTCTTCCTCGGTGTGGGCTGAATTTCAGTCCGAACATCCATGTCCTCCTCCTGCCATCCTACTTCAGGTTCCAAGACTCAAGCCACAAAGCCACACTTCCTCACGGTCCCATAGTTTGGTATTCGTTCTCTTTCTGGAAGTGCTGGGCACAGAACCCAGAGGCTGAACCTGCCAGGCAAGCACCTACTGCTGGCGGAATCTACAGTCCTCTTCTCCCAGAAAAGTGGATGAGAACACAAAGATACCTTCTTAGAAAGGAAGCTGGGTGTGGTGGCTCACTCCTGTAATCCCAGTGCCAGGCTGAGGCAGGAGGATCAGTGCAAGTTCAAGACCAGTCTGGGCTACAAAGTGAGCCCTAGGCCGGCCTGAACTGCATAACGAGACCCTACCTCAAAAATAAAAATAAAAAATAGTGAGCTCAGCCAGCATATTATGTATCAGTTCCAGGCACGTCACCTCAGATTTCCGGTTCCCCTAACCTCTTGTCCTTTCCTTTATGCTTCAAATTTTCCTCTTCTCTCAAAATTGAAGTTTTTCAAACAGTGCTAGTTTAGGCGCTGGCCTTAAAGGTGTCATTCCTCACATCTAAGCTATTTCAAATCCAATAAAATGGTCAAAACTGTTTTTTTGGTGTTGGAAATTCAGTAATTTGCAATACACATTTAATGCACACCAAGTGAACGCATGTGAGGAGCCACAGCACCTGTCTAATGATTATACCTCAGGGTGGTGGCTGCCAGGGCCAGGCATCCAGCACCAGTACCTGGGGGTGGGGTGGCAGCAGCAGTGGCACTTCTAGGGGGACGGTGACTGCAGGGGTAGGGTTGGGGAGAAGCCAGCTCGGAAGCCACTTTACCCCTCAGCACAGCGGAGAGGCTGTCGGGTGTCACTGATCTGCTGTGGAACAGTTCTCGTGGCAGCTGAGAGGAAAGGGGCAGCATGGTGCCAGCGGGAAGGAAGCTCTGGGGCCCAGCATGGAAAAAGGCAAGCCGGGTGGGTGGTTGTCCCTCAGCCTCCTCAACCGGCTGAACCCGGACTCCCACACCGACGTTGGCAGACGTGGTAACTGCATACACCTCACATCGCCACCACCTGACACACTTCACCTGGAGCGAGAGGCACACGAGTGTGACGCTGCTGAAATCCACGTCTGGATGCGTCTAGCTGAGGCTGCAATCCTTTCATCTATCATTTTCAGACCACATGAGTTGAATCCATGGATGTGGAGCCCATGGACGTGGACAGCTGTTTTGGTGCTGGGGAGCAAATCCAGGGTCTCGGGCACCAGCTCTGGCAGTATGCGTGCCCACCTCTCCGGGCACACGTGCCACTCCTCCCGCCCATGCCCTCCAGCTCTCCTTGGCAGTGATGCCTCACTGCTGCCTGGCTACAAGCTCGGCACCTTGCACACAGCTTTACGTGTGGCACAGACACTCTGTGTGGCTAGGGGCACGTGCTCCAGGCACCCCGTTTCTGATTGGGGGATGTGCACCAGGGAAGGCTCACCTAACAAGTAGACCTGCCCCCTCCTAAACTCCTGGCAACATACGGGACAGAAAAACGATACACCGCACAGAAAGTTTTGTGAGAGCTTTAATGGCACAAAATGTTTATAGCTACAAGGTATACATGTATTGTAAACTGTGTACGATGGTACAAAATGCTAACTGAATAGAAGATGCAGAATCACTTTGGCTCAGTTAATTCCAATAATTTAGAAATTCACCTCACTGGCCGGGTCTTTCATCTTCCTTTGTATAGTAAATGTTTATACTCCATCACAGTGACACATCACAGTTGTCACCAGCCTAGGCAGGGCACTTTTGCTCCTGGTTTTACAAATGAACATCTTAAACCAGTTTTCGTGGACACAAGAAAAAAGCCCTCCTTTTCAGCCCCAAACTGTAAACAGGTATAAAGCTTTTTAAACATTAATCTTAGAATGTCAACTGTCAATGGCCTTTCCAATCAATCTGTTGCATTCAACAAAAATCTGGCCACTACCAAGAAATCCTGCATGTGCTTACTGTACAGGAAGTGCTAGTATTATGATGTATTCATTTTTAGTTAATATTATTTAACTTTACAGATACTTTAAGAAATAGGGCAAAAAATAAATTTGCTTTCAATGCTGGGAAAAAAATCATAAACATACCCAAAGTCCACTGATAAAATTGCTACTGAATTCAGAAAGAGTACAATATAATGCCTATAAAAAGTTGCTCTTAAAGTATAATTTTACTCTTCTCTCCCAGAGATCAGCCGTGTATTGTGTATTGTAGTATTTCAGCACAGCTATTTGGTTCTCTTAGCTTTACCAGCCTTCCCAATTTTATTCAGACTTTTCATAACACAGTGGGTTTACCTACTTTCCAAAGAAATTCCAATGTGAACACTTGAAATAAACAGAAGGCAAATCAAGTGTTACCAGGGTTAAGAGTAAGACAGAAACAAGGTCCAGTAAGATATCTAGCATTATTTAGACCTCAAATTCTAGAAAGAAACAAAAGAAAATCATTCAGAAAACTGTTTTGGACATATCATCATTCTTAAAGACAACCAGCTATGTTCTTGAAGACAGAGAGAAATTGGTATTTTTATTTAATCTGTGTTATTTCCCACTCTACCATGGCAGCTTTACAAACCTTGACGAGAGAAAAGAGTTAGCTTTTGCAAACTGGCAGACCTGGTTGCTACAATAGTGTTTTATTCAAGTTAACCTCCGATGCACTTTACAGACTGCAAGCTTTAAGATTAACAATGGTCCTCTAAATAGTCAACAGCAAGGTCTGTATCATAAACAGTAATTATTTATATATAAAACATATAGTAGTATCTTTCATAGTCATGCTAGATGTTCTGAAATCCAATGAAACCTGCTCAAAATAATCTGTAATCTTGATGTTTTCTAAAATTTGGTCCTAAAGCTTCACATTTTAGAAACAAACAAAAAAGAATGTCACTGAAGAATCTGCTGCGTGTTCTGAAACGTCAGGGGGGATGTGACCGAACGGCAGCCACAGGAGACCGCAGGTCCGTGGCATCGCAGGGCCACTTCGGGAAGACGGCTCAGTGAGCCCGAGAGCAGCTGCGCGGACATGGCGGCCCCTTCCACAAATGTCACCTGTTCCCACCACCCAGGGGTGTTTTCTGGAGTTGCACAAGTGCTTGGAATAACTCTGAAGTGATTTTCTTCAGAGTTTAAAGGCTTCAGAGTATAATTGAAGCTTCCTAAAACAAGAAGCCTGGATTAACATCACAAATTGGACTCATTCCAAAGTCTTTTCTTACAGGAAAATAAAAGAAATTAAAAAAAAAAAAAACTGAAGAGTTATGAAAAAGTCACATGCAACTAACATATGGAAATACCAAACACACAAAAATCTGAAAAGCAATTTCATATGTCTAGGCCTGAGACGTTCCTTATCGGAAATAAAGAGTCTACACCATAGAAAAGACGGCATTACAACACACTAGTATTAAAATCTGCTGATGTAGTTAGTTCTTATTCTATTTCCTACCTACCATTTATACAGCCTGCCTCCCGTGGATCAGAAGGCGCTATTAGGAGGCTTGGGAAAAAAGTGGCTCCAAAGCTGGTTTAAAATAACTTTATTGCCCAGGATATTTTTCCTTGTCTTTTGCGGGTTGTTTTTGTTTTTGTTTTTTCTTTTTTAATAACTACAAATTCAAGCTCAGAGAAGCCTGTCTCTGTGTTGGAAAACAAAGCTTATGCTAACCTGATCTTGTCTGGAGAGAGGGTAGCTTCACTGCTGGAGGAAAATCTTTGCCATAGTCTAGTAATTAGCTCACGGTGCTAACAGGAGATAACAGCACTGCTGACAAAATTATGCTCTGCTGGTGGCGGTCGAGGAAAAAAAGCCCTTGCAAATTTCTAAACAACAGTAAACTGTTAGGAAATTCTAAAGTGTCTCACAGGCCAAAAAGGGAGTCAGGTTAGTAAAATGCCTCGTCAGAGTCTGAATAAAATACTGATTGGAGAGTTACTGGAACCAGGTGTGTAGAAACAGGGCGGTAGGCTGGGTCATGCTTACGATGGTCTGAGTTCAGATAAACTACGTGACAATACACCAGTGCAGGGCCGCCGTCCCGCAGCGCTCCTCACTCAGTAGGTGCTGGCAGAAGGCGTGCTCAGGCGTTTCCCGATGTAGATGCTGAAAGGAAGCAGAGCGTGTCACTGCACACCTCTCCGTGGTGGCGGCGGCTCGTTCCCAGCACAGTGGCTGGTGCCCAGAAATGATCACCTAGGTTTTCATGGTGCTGAGACCAAACCCAGGGCTTCATACGCCCCGGGCAGAGTGAGCTCCACTGCTGCCCTGGCTGTTGTAACCCTGCTGCCCGCTTGCCAAACTGGGTCCACGGGGACAGCGTGGGGGCAATGGAGAGATGCAGCCGACCGAGCAGAGGGGACAGACTCCCTGAAGAGTTGGGGCCCTCCGCCACAGGATCCTGCACTCAGCAGTCAGAAGCTCCTCTGCTGTTTTATAAATACAGCTCAGGTCTAGACCAGATTATTTGGGTGCTCATTATAGGGGAAAAGAAAAAGAATAAAAAATCCAGGAAGCTGCCAGTGCTTTGGGGACAGCTGCCAATAATCCTTAAAAGGGCCAGGGGCCCGTTTGACCTTCCAGTGTCACGCCAGTGCTTGACCCTGCCAGAGTGGAAGGAAGGAAGCCGAGGAGCTCCGTGAGCAGCCCATCCCCGCAGCTACGGAGCAGCAGACCTTTCAAACCGTTTCACATTCACCTGCAGCAAGCCACACGCAAGGCAAAGCAAAGCACGGCATAAAACAAGAAGAGCCTGAGGTGTCCCGAAAGCGGGGGCCACTGCAAGGCACAGAATCTGGCCAACGAGGCCACCAGCCAGGCCCCCAGCATCCGTGCTGTCCTTCGCAGCCTCGCCACCACCCATGTGTGGTCCAGGAGAGGTGACTGCAGCAGGAGACCTGGGGGGAGCAGAGCGTCGTGGGCACGGAACCACTTTCTTTCTCCACTCGGGAGGGTGAGGGCTGAGCTCTCTGCTGGTGCCACACACAGAAAATGACCATGGCCACTTACAGATTAGCGTGACAAATGCAGAGTGAAGAAAATTAACAGCTGCTCTTTACTTCTAAAATCTTTCCAAAGAATAGTCCCTCAATAATTGAAATCAAGAAAAAAGCAAGAAATTTAAGAAGAGCCTGGAAAATTAATGTATTATAGTAAATATGAGCCTATTTTAGAATAAACAAAAACCTGTAAAATTGAAAGAAAAAATCATTTCACATTAATCCCAAAATTTACATGCTGGAGATTTTTATAACTTATTCAAGATTCACTAAATTTTATACAACAAAACTCAAAAAAGAAAAATAGATCATCGAAGTGCCCACTTAAAATCACCAGCTGGGAGATTACTGTGACATCTTAGTCTTAGATAAGAGAAAGTCCTACCATCCTGACAACCAGCCAGGTGTGGCAGAGCTCCCTTGTACCCTCCTCAGCACTCTGGGAAGCTGAGGCAAGGTCAGAAAGAGTTCCAGCCCTACCTGGTCAGCTTTACAAACCAACAAGACCTCGTCTCAAATCATAAAAAGAAAATTTACAACAGGGCTGGACACAGGGCTCAGTGCAAAGGCCCTGGGTATGCACCTCAGCACTGAAAAAAATCATCAATTATTAAGCCACCAATTGGCAGACCAGCTGTGTGTCCACCTTATTTACACAAACTGTTAAAAGCAAAGCCATGTAAACAACTTTCATGTATATTTCTTCATCACAAACTAAACTTCTGAGAATGAAGTGCACGGAAAACACTAGAGGAGTTTAACAGTACTCACCCTAGCCCCAAAGCCAAAACGTGGGACAGGAATAGAGATGGGATGAACACTTTCAGAAACTCCGCAGAGAAAATGCCCCCTTTCTTCATGGCTCCACTTTTCCTCATGCTCAGGGATGCGGAGCGCTTCGGGTGTCTGAAGTGGAACTCCCTGAGGGAGGGATCAGAAACACAAGGCTGGGGGGACCCCTGGGCATCTCCAGGCCCTGGGCACTGGGCAGAGGCCGGCAGGCCCCAGATGATGCAGGGAGCACTTACTTTGGTGGAATGTTTTCAGGTCTGCTAGACCAGTCCGACACCCAGTCTGCACTTTTCTTCAAAGCCTCTACTTCCTTCTCTCCTTCTGCAGCTTCTTCTTCTGACTGTAAATAAGAATTCAAACTTAAGAAGGGGGAACCAATTCCTTCCATTATATAGACAAACGCAGAGAAATAAACTCAAGATCGTACATTAGTAATTCCTATGTAAGAACAGGCCACCCTCTGAAAAAGGCTGAAGAAATGATCTAACAGTGCTGAGCACTGTACTGCTCTGTGGAAAGAGCCCCAGCAGCGGGTAGACCTGCCCTTGCCAAGGCAATCTCCTGCCGTGCTGCTCAAAGTGGAGCACCAGGGTACTGCTCAATCAGGTCACCTTAGTCTCCTCACTTGTGTAAAATTTTAATGCTTCGTAAAAAGGAAACATATCAAAAAGGAATAGCAGAAATAAACTGGTGAGAAATAAAAGCAAGCGGGAGATGTGATGGGGAAGTGTGACAGTCGTCCTGGGTGCAGGCTCAGAGACCAGCGTCCCCCTGAGCACTCAGGTGTGTTCCCCGACTGACTCTGCACCAAGCCTGTAACACTGAGCTGCAGCAGGTCCTTCTCACACTGCAGGCCAGGAATAATTAAAATTTCCCAAAGTCCCTTTTTTACTAGAACCTAGGGAAATGAGAAATTGCCCAAACGGATGGTATCACTTCATCCCATTCTGGAATGTGAGAACTGAAGGACTGTGATGCTTTGACCCTATACCCATAGGTGTCGAAGTTGAGAAGTGTCTCCTCTGATTTGGGTAGGACCCGCTCTCTGGTCCCAGCTCCTGCTCCCTTGGGCAGGTGGATGGTTGCCCCAGAGCCTCACACCACCCCAATTCAGCGACACAGCTGTCCCAGGAGGGTGCCTGTGACAGGCTCTGCACACAGACAATGCACCCACCAAAGCAGAGGGAACCCTACAGATGTCTGTGGACCCAGGCATTCCACTGGGCAAGGAGATTCCTCAGAACCAGGAGTCCAGTGGGCTCTTTGCAGCCCAGGGAATTCTCCTACAGCAAGTCACTTCTCTCATTTTGCACATGCAGAGCCCGCCTCTCGACACTGAAGTCATCCCTGTTTACAACTCTCTGGTGGCCTCCATCTCTCTCCTAGCAGCTCAGATTCGGGCTTCCATTTTTGGACAAGTTAGTATTTCATGCTTTCCAACATGATGCACAAGCAGTAAGACTGTATGTTCTCCATTTTTTAAAAAGGCAGTAGCATTTTCTCTCAACTGAGTCAAGTTTTCTTTTCATTAGTATTTAAAACAACAAAACACAACTCCTGCCAAATCTCTAGACCTCTTCTAAGCTAAGGGGGTGCACTCTCTTCCTTTACCATGATTCTGTTTCCTCCCATCTTAATCTTACATTTAATCTTCCTTTAATTAAAATTCCTTTAATCTTAAATTGGCTACTCTCAGGAGTTATTAACCTAATGACATGCAGCTCCGGCTTGGAACTGAACGGCAGCCACCTCCCCATCTCCGCAGGGCAGACCCCAGGCCAGTCCTGTGTGGGTGCCCTACTCTCCTCACCCGCAGCTTTGCCGGTTCTCTCAGGGCCCCAAACTAGAATTAGACTGCGCACAGGGACCTATGTGCAGGAAAGCTGCGGTCTTGCAAGGCAGAGACCACCTTCCGGGTATACTCAGCACCCTCTCTGGTGCAAAGTCACACTGCAACTGTGCCTAATTTAGGTCATTCCAGTCCACTTTCGGCTACCAATGAAGACTTCTGCTTCCATTGCAGCACTCCAGCAGTTTGTGTGACGCCCACTCATGCAGTACTGGGACCCCCAAAACCACAAGCCCCAGGCCTCTGCGGCTCTGGCTCATCATGCACAGAGTTCTGTGCACAATTCTACCAGGTGGCTTGTTTCAGCGGGGGCCAGGGCACCACAGGACTGCGATCTGGATCTAATGTCCCAGCCTTGTCACCTGGATAACTAAGTTGGCCCAATTTCCCCACGTGTCCTTGAGGATAACACCACCTCTTTCACCGGACACATGAGTAAGAAGCATTTTTAAAAAGTTAACACTCAACACCTACCTGGCTAAATGCCAGCGCCTGTCCTGCCTGTTCTTGCTCCCACAACCGTTTCAAAACCGTCCTGCTCTTCAAGGACACACATGAAAATGTCTCAGAGGATAAAGTTCAGCGACAGTCTTTTGTTAAATGTTTCTACACCTTAGCCCTTAAGACTTTTCTCATTCTCATGAAAAAAATTCATTTTCCCAAATCCCAAATTTTTAAATTATTTCTTCAGTTAAAGTGCAGAAGGTTCCTTGAAAACAGATAATGATGCTACCGTTATCTCCTTATTTTAAGCCTTACTCGGCAGCTCTGCTTCTTAAGGAGCCAGACTGCTCTCAGCAGCCCTTCCTGGGTCTACTCAACTAACCTGCTTCGTTCCCTGGCTTCTCATTGCCAGGGTTCTTCCAATTTGTTTCTGCATGGGGAACACACTGGCAATCCACCACGACCTGACAAAAATGCTAAAAATCTTGTACTTCTCTCCGGAATTTCACAAATTCTAGGGACCTGGAATTCTAGCATGGAGGCTCAGCTCTAGAATCCATGTAAAGCGCTCTGACAGGTGTCAGGTACACCTGTTTATACACTTCCGTCCCCGCCACCAGCCAGGACAGCACTTCCCAGCTGTCCTCTGCATCCTTAGGGTCGCAAGGGAAAGTATGTGTGGAGGCGATCGCAGTGAAACGTCAGAGATACCTGGTTTAAGAAACAGCATCACCCGGTAGTGGGGTGTTTAGAGCCATTACTCAGGGTCACCTCCTACGTGAACCAGGACTACAGCACTTTCCAGGTATCTGACTTTAGAACTTTCTCATGGAGCTTCTCATGGAGTGAACATTTGTCAGACAAGTTCTGGAAAATGTTAGTATAGATTTTCGACCTGTCCATATGTACCGAAGCTAAACAGACTGCAAACACCTTTCAAGGAATGACTACAGCCAAGAATATTTCTCTCTTGGATGCTTGGTACATTTTTCTGTTATAAGGATTTTACATACTCTATTTAGTTACACCCTACCGCCTGTGTCCAGACTGGCAAACGTCAGCCAGTGATCCAACAATTCTGTCAGGCTGTCTTCCTACATGTCAGCCTTGCCATTATAGGCTTCCCTACAGGCTAAAGCTCAATGCACAGGTGTTCCAGGATTCAGACGAGTAAAAACAGCCACAGTCCAGGTTACGGAGAACCTGTACTGCCTCTAAACAGCAGACTGACCAGGTACTTCTAGGGCAAAATGTTTCTAGTGCAGAGTGCAGGACTAGGGACCAAGAAAACATCACAAAACAAGTGTGTGTGTGTGTGTGTGTGTGTGTGTGTGTGTGTATAGTCTGTGAAAAACAAAAAAGTATACACATCTCACCAGTTTACCCTATTAATGTCTGGAAACTAATAGTCACCACTTTGAGCACCTCTTGTTATTGTACAGGCCAAAGGTACTTGTATGAATCCATGATGTTTCAATAAATTTAGTATTAAAATACTTATACAAGTTTCTTTCCCTCATGTATACACTTTTTGGGCAGACTGTGTGTGTGTGTATATATTGACACAATGTCTTATTATGTGATGATTGGCCTTGACCTTGTGATCTTCTTTCCTCAGTTCCCAAGTACTAGGATTACAGTTGTGCACCACACATCTGTTCAACAAGGTTTTTGAGAACTTACGAAACATTCATTCAATATTTTTAAACACCTTAGTGCAGGAGAAGGCGGCAATGGTTCCTCCTCAAGAATTTATTCTGCTGTGACACTGTCAGTTGACTCCATGCATCCATAGCTAGGCACTGGCCACGTGTACCCTAACTCATTAGCAACAATCAGATGCGAACGATCCTTTTTTTTAAGTTTTGTAATGCAAACCTTCGTAAGACTGCAAAATTGTACCCAACTATATTCCCAACCATGTCAACTTCTGGTGACCTGTATTTATCTTTTTAGTTAATTCAAGGCTATTTAGTTAATTTAGATGAATTTTTTATCTCTAGTTTTTTAAGTTACTGCTTTGATTTGGACGCAGCCAAAATCTTCATACCTAGTTCCAGTTCCTCACCTGCATTTCCACAGACTCTGTTATCTTACATGAGCCATTTGGCCCAGACTCTCTGCCTCTAAGATCAAGAAACTCGCCTTGGAACAGCGAGACCACACATCATCGCCAGGAACTTTCCCACTCTGAGAGTAAAACAGCCCAAAATTCATAGGTGTAAATAATTGCAGTATGAACTATACTACCCTAAATAAACCCAACAATCAGAATTAGCCAACTTGGAACAGTTTCTGACTGCATTGTTTTAGTGACAGCTCAATGCACCTGGCCACATGACAGACATCAGCCGGTGATTCCACAGGTGCAGGTGGACTTCCCCCGGAAGCCCTGCCTTGTACTGGACCAGGTCTCCTTGAACAGGTTCCTGCCAGCCACAGGCAGAGGACCTGCACACCTCGCCCCTGTCTCCTGGGGGTCACCGCCTCACTCACCTGAGAGCTGTGGTCCCTGCTGTTGTGCATCTCCACATCGAACATGATCTGCCCGTCTTCCTGAGGGGAGGGGCTGGGTGAGAAAACGCACTCCGTTAGTTTTCATCTGTTTCCCGTCCAATGTCCAGCCTTTACCGGAAATCAGAAAATTAAGCTATAGAATGATGACTTTAAAAAAGGAGGGAATTCAAAAAGTAGACCATGTAAGCAACCTGTGTGCGACAGCATGTAGCCAAATGAAACAGAGCACTCTTACAAAATGTTCTAGACTGTCAGAGCTGATGAATTCCTTTACAACAGTAAAGCCACAAAGGAAATTACCTTGTAAACGTACAAGGCTCCCATCATCTTGTTCTCTTTTCCAACTAAACGTTGGGGATGTATAACATTCTTTCACCATTGATCACTCACCCCCAGCAGCTCTCCAAGTGCAAAGAGTATTTCTCAGACTCTTTCAGTATCTGCAAGGCTGACACTGCTTTCACAATACTACAGGCCTGACTTCCCACCTCACTGGCCTCCTTCCATGAGTGTACAGCGAGTGGCACGCTCCAAGGGCTGGGTGCTATGTGACATTACAGCAAACTCAACAGAAAAGGCATGAGAACCCAGCTATTTTCTATTAAGCTATTAACTCTACTAAAACAAGTTGCAAAAATGAAAATCACTCTCACAGTTTCTTAGTAGTTTTATTTTTGGTTGTAAGAAAGTTATTTTTCAGGGGCTGGGGATTTAGCTCAGCGGAATAAGCACCTGCCTTACAAGCAGGCAGTTGTGAGTTCAATCCCCGGTACTGATAAGAAAGAAAAACACACACACACACAAAAAAAAAAAAAAAGAAAAAAGAAAGAAAAAGTTATTTTTCATTGCAAGAGTTCCTTATGTTAGGGTTAAATTCTTTTTACGTGGTACTGGGCAATGAACCCAGAGCCTCATATACGTTAACCAAGCACTTTTCCACTGAGCTATGTCCAAGCCCTTTTTGAGATAAGGTCCTGCTGAGTGAGTGGCTTAGGCTGGCCTCAAACTTGTGACCCTCTTATCTCATCCTTCTGAGCAGCTGGGACTACAGCCACTAGGCCAGATTTAAATCTTGTTTTGGTTTCCTTTGGAGGAGGGTGCTGGAGATGGGTGCCACTGGGGCTGAGCCAGGCCCTCAGGCATGTCCTATTTACTGAGCTTCAATCCCAACCCCAGTTAAATCTCTAACACAGCAAAACCCAACACACAACCCCGGCACTAAAATTCTCCAAGTACCTCATAGTTTTTAGATTGCAAAGGAAATGGAAACTCAAAACTTAGAGAACTACTGTTGTATTTATCTCTAAATATATGTCCTGAGCTATCTCAGAGTGAGTTATATAAACCTGTATCTGAATATAAATACCTTTATGATAGTACAAAACATATTCCCAGACCTATAAAAGTTCAGATGGCCAGGGATGTAGCTCCAGGGGCAGCACTTATCTAGCAAGTCTGTGAATCCAATTATGGAGGGAAAACAAAAGGCTGCCCATGTAAAATCTACAGATAAACTCCCAGACAAAAATACATCATTACAAACTGTATTTGACAGAACAGACTGATGTGTTAAGTTCTTTTCTTGCTTTATCAATCAATCCCTGCATAAGCACAGTGAATCACTGGATCTTTCATCATATCTAAAATAAAGCTGAGGCCGGGCGTGGTGGCTCACTCCTGTAATCCCAGCACTCGGGAGGCTGAGGCAGGAGGATTGTTGCAAGTTCAAGACCAACCTGGGCTACAAAGTGAGCTCAAGGTCAGTCTGAACTGCACAGCGAGACCCTGTCTCAAAAAAGACAAATAATAATAATAAATAAATAAAATAAAATAAAGGCGAGGCCCAGCTCCCGGGTCCCATTGCAGACCCTTCGGCCTCTAGATATGGACTCTCAGGGAACACTGCAGTGGGCTCCCGGTCTTAGACTGCTCCTTCAGGTCTCTAGGGCACCTGACTCTCCAAGTGGCCACTGCAAGTGGCCTTATCAGTGCTGACCTATTCATATATCTGGCATTGTATCTGCTTCTCCAGTGAGCACTGACAGAGTCATCGACTGCCCTGAACAATTCTCTGGACATGACAGCAAGTGCCTAGCACCACTGGATACAAGATATAGCAGTAGAGTGAGTTCCCTATCTGTGCCTGTCCACGCTGGGTTGGCATCAGCTTAGAAGCCTGCCTTGGGCTGCTGTGCCCAGGTCAGTCAGGACCCCCAGACCACGCTCCACTCCACTGCTTGGACCCCACTCAGGAAGCACAGCTTCTCAGGGGTGCGTTGCCCACATCTCCCACTGACCTGGGAAGCAACAGGGCTTCCACCCTGGCTCCTTCCAGGGTCTGCTTGGCATGTCTCTGCTCCGCCCTGACAGCTGAACAACAAGCTCTGTGGATGGCGTGGGCACTTCGTCAGGTTTCTTTTGGCAGTCCTGGTGACCGGCACTGAGCTATAACCCAAATGCTTCCCTTTCTTTTCAAAGAAGGCCTCACAAAATCACCCAGGCTGGACTTGAACTTGCAATCCTTCCACTTCTGCTTCTCAGAGCACTGGGGTTACACACGTGGCTTGCACCTTGGTACTTTTAAAGGCTCCCTGGATCAATCTAGTGGGCAGTCAAGGTTGGAAACCTTCACAACTGTGTGGAACACAAAGCAAAGCACACGTGTTCTCTTCTAGTAACCGCTGCAGGAACAAAAGCCAATCTATGCAATAATTTTTAAGTTGAAAACACCCAACCATTTAAAATTCTTCCACCTAGGAAAAACACTTAACTTCAAATGCAGCAGAGCGTGCAGATTCAAATGACATGAATGTCGAGTCGAAGACCTTTCCAGAGGGCATCAGTCAGAACCCCAGGAGACGTTACTGAGTGGAGTTCACTGCCCTGGAGCCAGGCCAGTGAGGGTGAGAAAGCGCCCAAAGAGTAGGTAGCCCCCCTTTCCACAAATTCAGAAGCCTATGTTAGACACAGTCCTGGGCAGGTGGATTCATATTCCATCACACGGACCAGCGTGGCTGACACGAGAGACCACAGGGGAGCAGGTACCTTCTCTGCACCATGGGAACAACAGGCTTGTGGCCTGGAGAGTGCGGCAGAACAGGCCACAACAGGCGAGCACTCAAGACAGAGGATGCTCTTCCCTTCAAGGCGGCCCACAACCTATGCCGTCCCTGGGGGACAGCAAATGCTGCTGCCTGGAAGCCATGGCAGGCTGCTCAGAAGAGCCATCTGGCTCAGTGCCACCTCTATTAGGAACCGCCCCCAGGCTCTGAGAAGCACAGGCAGGTCAGAGATGATTGAGGACCTGAGGGTGTGGGTGTGTCACGCCACTTGGCCCAGTCCTCTGGCTGCCTCCTAACCCCAGTGGATCATGAGACACAAAGGAAGGTGCAACACAACATGACCTCTTTCCCTCCCTTGATAGAACTAGACATGCTGTACCATGTTTTAGAAACTATAAAAATACTAAGTACTCTGGCCAGGGATTTAGTTCAGTGGTGTAAGCACCTGCCTGGCAAGCATGAGGTCGCGAGTTCGATCCCTGGTACCCCCCAAAAACCACTTAAGTACCCATAACTCTGTTCTCCACACTCAGCTACTGTTTATATTTTAAAGCCTTCCCTTAATCTTTATTTCCCATGTGTCCACTTTTTGTACGCTCAGATCAGTTCACAGAATTAACCCAAAGATCACAATATAATGGCATGCTGGCCACTGCACTAAAATTTTCCCCCCAGTACCGTCGATTGACCCAGGGATGCTCTACCACTGAGCTACATTCCTAGCTTTTTTTTTTTTTAATTTTCACAGTTTTGTGAAGTTCCCAGGCTGGCCTCAAAGGTTCAATCCTTCCAGTTTAGCCTCCCAAGCACTACCACACCCAACTGCACTAAGAATTTTTAATACCTGGTCCCTTTGGAAAACAAAAAAACCCTTAGACTAAAAAATAATTTAATGACCTGGTTTCATTCTACACATACATCTCTCTGAATTCTTAGTCTGTCATAAGCAAATCTTAATCAGCAGAATTAGTGTCTTTTGGTCAAATACCAAAAAAAGGAAGAGCTGAAACAAAAATTCCCTGAGGAATCAGGCATGGTGGTGCACGCCTGTGGCCCTCGCACTCTGGGAGGCTGAAACAGGAGAATCACAAGTTTGAGCCCAGCCTGGACAACTCAGCAACTCATTGAGTTCCTGCCTCTCCCATCTCCCCTCAAAAAAGCCAGGTGTGCAGTTCAGTGCAAAGGCTCTGTGTTTACTTCATAGCATTTGGGGGAAAAAAACACAAAAACAAAACACTGCCTGTCAGGCACCCACACTGACTGGGCATCTGCTGCTCACACCCAGAGGGAATCCCGATGTCCAGAGGGACCTGTAATGCAGGCACAGTGTGTGACTGTAACATGGGGACAACAACCCAGGAAGATCACCAGCGATGAATTCCACAAATTAACGTTTATACTACTGACTTTGAAACTGATAAACCACCTCAAATACAGTAAGAAAAACCACTTCATCTGAGGAACAGTGGGCACGTCAGTACCTGTCCATCGTCAGTACCTGTCCATCAGCAGTCTGACCTGCACGCTGGCTGCTGTCCGCCAGGCGGTGGGTGCTGTTAAATGAAGATCAAGCAAAGGAGGACTTCCTCTGTGCGCCAGCCTCCACCCCACCCCGTGGTCTAGCTCACCTGTCACAGTGAGAGCTGCCTCTAGAACTGCTCTGTCCCGACTCATGCTGCGCGTCCAGAAGGATCTTCTCCATGTCTCCATTGTGGATGGAGGACGAGGAAGGGACGTGTTCCAAACCCCCATTCTTCCCGTTGCCATTATCACTGCCGTTGCTGCTGTTCATGGGTAGCTCCACCCAGGAACCTGTTGGACGGGTCAGATAATTAACCACTAACCATCGCAGGACTGAAATCTGTCCTGCGCACACAGCTGTCATTGAGGAGAACTCAGATAAGCGGACCCACTCGCCTCAGTGCTAACGCAAGTCAGCTGCAGCAAATAAACAAGCAGCGGCCAGGGGAACCCCCTCAAATGCTACTCCTGAAGGTGCTCAAGCACTCAAGCAAGGCAGAAGGGGGGGTCTAATGCTCCTTAGAAGGAGCGTCTTTAGACTGATTTTCTCTCCGCTTAATGCTTACTTTACATACCATCATTGATTTATTAAAAACCAAGCATGCCCTCAAAAAATGAACTTTATTACTACACAGACTACTTGCCTTTATTATTTTAGTTTTACACACACTTAATATACATACAGTCCATAGTCTACCTCAGCTTTTTAGCTGTATCTGCTTCACAAATTAAATGAATGTGACTTAGAAACATTATAAAGTTCATCTAAACAGGTTTACAACTACAACCCAAAGGACATGCCAGAGGAAATCTAAATGCATTCACAAAATTCCATTTGTGCACAAACTCAGAGCATAAAGTTAAGGCAGCTGATTCTTTGCAAAGTCAGGTGACAATGCTAAAACTCCTGGGGAATCACGGCCGCTCTACTCCGCATCTTGTTTTATTCCTTCCCTTTGTACCCTGCACTTCCTCCTCTTTCACTCTCTTGGCATACCTGGTGAACCTGTCTCTTCTCCGTCTTGACCTGCGAGTTCCTACTGCCTTGGGTTTGCATCAAGCCTCACTGGTTTGGAGGGCCAAGCAGCTGCAGCTGCCCCCCAGGCTGAAGCCAGTTTTGGGGGCAGTCTGAAGGGTGGGGCTGCAGGAAAAGGGGTGGGCGCAAGCGATGAGCACAGGTCCTGACAATTTTTACTGGCCCAAAGGGTTTGTTGAAGGATGCTGGTGCTTGAATTTTATTAAGAACTGGTAACAGTAGCTAAGATACCAACTTCACAATAGAGAGATGGAATTAGTATTATTAAAAATTAGTATTAAAAATTTACAATAAATTTGGTTTGAGGAAATGTAACCCAGTAGTTTGGTGGAACCACTCCCTTGAGAGGGCCAGGCAGACCAGGGGTTCCAGCACTCAGTAGGAGGTACCCTCAGCACCACTCAATCTTGAACACATGCCTGTCTGGAGTGCAGGCTGCAGCAGACTGACCTAACGGAGGAGAAGCTCTCAGGCCAGCTGGCTGGGACTCCCAGGCCACTGCTCCTCCTGTGTTCCTGTGACCCATGCCTCTGCCTCCCAGGCTGCCTGGTGGGAAGGAGAGGCTGCACCTAGGGAGCTCATTCTCAGAACACTGCTTGCTAAAGGACGTGACTCACTGAGGGCAGCCCCAGGAACATCCTTGTCCCATCGCCAGGGGCTCCTCAGGACAGTGCTGCCAGATGACACAAGTGGGGGGCAGCTGTTCGGCCTCATTCCCTACTCACTCATCAGTAGGCACAGCCTAGAGAAACAGCTAGAGTGCTAACTACAACAGGCAAGGCTAGGACAGATACTTTGATTCTGCAGCAGTTCTGGAGTGCAGGATGCCCCAAAAGCAGCCTTAAATTTACAGCCATGCAAAGTATCTGAATGGAGGGGAGAGTGTTACATAACAAACTTTTTTTCTACTCCCACTGCTTTCAGTATTTTCAAACTTCTTTTGAAATCATTTCTTGTAAGAGAACCCAGTGAGTAAAATAACTCCCAAAGCTGCTCTGGCAGAACAGAACTAAGCAGTAAAGGTTCCGGAAGGGCCCACAGAAGCAGCCAGCCTTTCTTAAAACACAGAGTGCACTTGGGGTATCTGATCAGAAGCCGGGCAGCTACCAATGCCAGCTTCTTCTACTCCTTGCTTTTTGAAGGACTTTCGAACCAGTGTGCACAGTAAAATCTATTTTTTGCACTAAAAAATACATAGTGAGTGTAGGCAATGCAGGTCTGTAATCCTAAAACTCCGGGAGGCTGAGACAGGAGGATTCTAAATTTGAGCCCAGCTTGAGCAACTGTCAACTTATTGAAACCCAGTCTCAAAATAAAAAACAAAGGAAAACACAAGGACTCAGGATGCAGCTCAGTCTGAAGCCTCTGGGCTTGATCCTTGTGTCACAAAACAACACAGTATTGACTCATCTAACATGTATTTTAGGAATTTGAAAAGACAGGCCTCAGAGAGCAGGATAAAAATGATCCTTATTCTTGGCCCTATCGTGTTGAATCAAGAGGGCAACTCTTCTACCTAAAGCAGACCCTTCCTGTTTTCAGGCAAGATCTCGGTCAGCTGCCCTGGCTGACCCCGAACTCAGGACCCTTCCACTTGGGCCTCCCTAGGGGCTTGAAGTTCAGTTCTGTCACTGCACCTGGCTTGGCAGACCGTTTTTGTCTTACAAACAGTGGCACAGTAGTGAAAGGCATAGACTGAAGCCAGAGAGCCACTCTTTTCCAGGACTAGTTCCCCTCTTTGCCTCAGTTTCCTGATCTGTGAAATGGGAATAGCAGTTGTATCAATCTTAGAGAAGTTAGAAAGACTGCATGAACACAGGAAAACAAGGCAAGTCCCTAGGACACGCTATGCACATATTCACTACTGTGGTAACTGTATTCTGTGTATTTAAAAAATCATTTCTGATTACAAAAAATGCATTCTCGGAGAAGTAAACATCCACATATAAGGTTAAATAGTACCTCACTAACTTCCCACCCCACTCCCAAGGAAGTCACTTTAAAATGGCTTTACATGGAGACTTCTGCCATTTTTTCAAATACAGTTGTTGAAATGCAACTTCTGTTGCTTCTATAAACAGATGGAAATGTGCTACAGATGTTTATTTAATTTTTATCTTTTAGATGTTTCTGTAAGCAGTGCTTTCACTCAGGGCTGTTCTTCACATTAATACATGCAGATGTTTATTCTTTTCAACACCGGCACTGTTCTCACTGCTTATAAAGATGCCTCCAACTAACCCTCCACCCAAAGGCAACACTTAACCGGGGCTGAAAAGAACATCCTGTCAAGTAACAGGTGGGCACTGTTTTTTTAAGGAACTTTAAAAAGGCAAATTTCCTTAAACTCAGTAATTTTCTTCCAGAAGTATCACCTAGGAAAATATGTAACATTACAAAGAATGCTACATGACATTACTTAAGAGGCTACACATCAGCCTTTTCTTTTGAGTAACAAGAACAAATCTGACTCTTTCCCACCTCTTAATTCACCCTGGACTGACAGCCAGATTACAGACAGGGATTACAGAAGTTCTATCTCTACCAATCTTCACAAAGTCCCCTTGTCACCTGGAAAGAAAACAAGGCAGGACAGGAGGGCTGTGCTAAGCAACACAAGTAAAAAGCTCCAACAGAATTCTCTTCCTAATAAAATAAGCAAGCTTTAAAACCAGAGCTGGTAGCGTTGTTATTTTAGAAGACGCTTTACAAGTTGGAAGTTTACAAGTCTGTGCGCTCTGCACACAGACACAGGGATGTGTTTTCTAGTTCAAGTCCTTGAGATCGACTGAAGAATTATCAAAGTTGGTCCAGGAACTGTGATTATACTCATGCTTGTACCCTGCAGACATCTCACTTCTATGATCACCAGTTTATCTTCAGGCGTATTGGGCAGAGTATTTCTCCCCAGCTTTTTCGAGGCGAGGACGACACAGCTTGCTGCACGCGCTTCTTTCCTTAGAGCCCTTTCTGTCTGTGATTTCAGGGACCAGATGCTGGACCCACACCAGCCGAGGGCAGACCTATGACACGACCCTTACTTGCTGCACCAAGTGGGTACCTGCACATGGTGACTTCTTTATTCAAAAACCGATTCTGGGGCAATGGTGTTTCACGTGTCACATGGTAAGAGCCCTCTTGCCACACTGGGGAAGCAAGGACACTGTGGCTGAAGGGCTTTAAAAGGGAAAGAAAAACCTGTACTTCCCATATCGAACACCCTGATTTTCCTGTGCGATACACTCAAATCTCAAGACGTAATTATTCAAACATTAAGAAACCTGATAGTTTTTAAAGAGTAAAAATGGAAGCATTCTTTTAACAAAACTGGATGTCCGCCTTGCTGCTAATTTGTTATGAAAGTGCCCTTAGAGTTGGAAACTTAAAACACAAAACACATCAGAGAAAATCTTGACATTTCAAATATTTTAATAATTTATTACTATTAAGACTCTGATGCCAAGCATGGTGCTTCACACCTGTAAGCCCAGCACTGAGGAGGCTGATGCAGGAGCGTCTCTTGAGTATAAGGTCAGCCTGGGCCACATAGTAAGTTCAAGGCCAGTTTGAATTACATGGCAAGATTGTGTCTCAAAAAAAAAGAAAAGAAAAAAATTAAGACTGCTCTGACTCCTAACTTAAAAGTAAAATCCTAAATCAGGGATCGTCTGTATGAATTTCACCTTCCATTTCCAGCTGTGCAATGTTACCCAACACAACTTACAGCAATTTAGATGGTATGAGATGCTTGAATTTCTGCCCAGGGCCTAGAACTCACTTCAAAGAGTCAATAAGGCTGTCTTGTTCTGTTCAAGTATAAAGAGCTAAAAAAGCAAAGAGGCAAGACAAGTAAGTATGGCATTATTCAAGAGCTTTTCAGTCATTTAAAAGCTCAGCCTATTCCCAAATAAAACACTTTCTATCTAGCAGACTTCCAAAAGCAACACCTGGAATCACATACAAGCTGCATGTTCTTACACTTTTGTAAAAGCTAGTAAGAACGAAGCAAGAAATGACTGGCTGAAGACATCAAACATCTCACAAGTCTGCCAGATGTCAAGATAAACAATCACAAGCTGGGTGTGGTGGTGCATTCTTGTAAGCCCAGCACATTGAGAGGCTGAGGCAAGAGTATCCTACGTCTGAGCCAAGCCTGGGCAATTTATCTAGTGAGACCTGGTTTCAGAATAAAAATCAAAAAGCGGATGGTGGTGTACCTCAGTGCAAAGGCCTTGGCTTCAAATTCCCAGAAAGATTTAAGGAAATTACATATACCTCAATTACATATATAGCTCAGTCTTCGTTGTTGTTTTGTTACAGGGTCACAGAAAAATATAAATCCCTTTGCTTTCTGTGTAATCACACACACACTGATGCCATATTTGACTCAGAAAAAAACATGAAGCACAACTAGAAAACAATATAAAAGAAAGGCTGGCCCCCAGTGTACACTGAATAACATACTGAAAGGTGAGATACAGGCCCATTAAAAACGATCCTGAAAAGAACCCAAGACCGGCTGAAAGTGGGAACAGAGCTCTGGATCGCAGCCAGCTGTGGACCTGCCCAAGACCCTTGACTCTAGACCCACTTTTTTGCCAGTAAAAACAAGGTACACTTAGATCTCCAAGGTCGCTTCTCATTGTTTAATTCACGTTTCCAAGAAAAGTACGGTTTAAAAACATGGGTAATTTATTCTAGTTTGATATAAGTGACATTTAAACTAGGGGCAATAACATAAAAACTTTACATTCCAAAACACCAGACACGTATAAGCTTACAAAAAAGGTCAACATTAGCTCATCAGAAGATGGAGCAGCAGCAATAAACAATGGAAACAGGTAAAAATATCTAAATCCTAACCCTGCCCTGCAAAGACAGAAACTTCTCTTAAAATGTTTAGGCCGTGCTGGAAGCATCCCCCTCTTGTGAAATAAACTGCACGATCTTTCGGCATCCGGATCCTTTTTAAGCGCTTGCATCTGGCCATATGGTGACTGCCCCCACTACCTCTTTCATAAGAGATGAAATGAAGAAAGGTTAGGCAAGAACCTTTCCAACAAGACGAGGTGCTCACGACAACAGCAACAGTCTTAGGACAAGCTGTCAGGGCACCAGAAGGTTATGCAAAGCAGTCGCCGCAGGCAGTCACTCGGTAACGCTCCCGAACTTTCAAAGACCTGGATGTCTGTGTGTTTTTCATTGTTTCTGAAAACTCACTGCTCAGACTCCGTGATGGGTGCAACGTTAGGTGGTGTATGAGGCCTAAACCACTTACTGGGCACGCGATACCACCGTTTAAAAAAATTATTTCAGCAAATTTGGGCCACGCAAGATATTATTTTTTTAAACGCTCAAAGCCTCCTCATCCCCACACTGAGTTACCAAACCCATTTTCTTGACCAGCATGTGGCAACAAAGGAATACAACTGGCAGGCTCGGGCTCGACCGTCGAGCCGGGACCCTGATCTCCGAGTGGGTCTGACCAGAGTCCCACACCGGCTTGGCCGCTCGTCCCGTCCAGCGGCCCGCGCTCCGCGCCCCGCCCGCCGCGCGTCCATCCCTTTGCATCCCCGCCGCACGTCCCCGGCCCGGCCCACGTCCCCCAGCAGCCCGCTCCGCCCACTTCCACCTCCCCCACGGCCCGCTCCCGAAGCTGAGCTCAAGGGGCCACCACGGGCGGCCGCGTGAACCCCTCCCCGCCACCCCGACCGACTGGGCCTCAACAGAAGGAAAACCCTAGCGCCCGCAGCCCACGACCCCCGGAGCCGGCGCAAATGCGCCGTGAGGAAGACTCGAGCGCCTCTTCCTGACTGGAGGCGGGCGCTGTCAATCACGCGGACATCCTTGCCCTAGAACCAATGGACGGCCTTCTCCTCCCGCCCCCCTCGCGGCGCAGGCGGCGGCCACCCGAGCAGCTCCTCCTCCCCCATCCCCGGCCGAGCTCGTCGGCCCAGCACTCACTATTGAGGCCGGCTGGCGGCGGTAAAGACTGTTCCCCTTCCTCGCAGTTGTTGTTGTTGTTGTGCAGGGGAGGTGGAGGCTCAATTAAATGAGACGACATGGTCTGTCGGCTGGAAGAGCTTCGGCCGCCGCAGGACCGTCTCCGGTTCTCGGGCAGCAACACAACAAGGCGAGTCCCCCGCCCCCTTTTCTGCGCTTGCGCAGTCCCTCCCCTTCTGTGACGTCAGGACCCGCCCGATCACGTGATGACAACACAACAAGCGGCGGGGCGGGGCGGGGCGGGGCGGGGCGGGGCGTTCCCATGCCCACCCCGGATGTGCAGACGCGGGAGTCACGCTGACGCGCGCGCCAGGAATGAATTCTTGCGTGTAATGCATCCTGACCGGATGCAATGAGTTATGCTAGGGCTCCGGGATAGAGGATTGGAAGAGGTGTAATGGGGAAATGCGAAATCCTCGGGGTAAGCACCCAAGTCTCCGTCCACACCTACGGGATCCAAGCTGTTTCTTTCAGCCCCTGCGCATCTAGTTTTCAGATATCTGTAGAGACTTTTGTAACGCATCATGGCGACACGTCAAGGAAAAAAAAAATCTTAAAGCTGGTGAAACAGTGCTAGCAGGAAGCACTGTAAGGTGGCCCGACCCTTTTTGTTTTTGGGGATTTTAAAATTTCAGTTGGAAATACAAAACACTGTCATTGTAAAAGAAAAAACCATAGAGAAAACAGGAAGACATAGAAAAAAATCACCCAAGGCCTGTCACCTCCCAAACCTATTTCTAGGTCGTGGCCTGAGAAACCACGTCTTGACTTGGGTGACTCTAAACTATGGTACTTTGTGTTCCTTGCCATGTTACCGTGACCTCCGTGTGTCCTGTGCTTCAGCTACTGTCGTTAACTTTGTTAAAATTCTGTGTTAGGTTTAAACTTTTCATTAACCAAATCTGTCATTTTTTTTTTTTTTTTGTCTTTTTCATTTTTATCGGTACCAGGGATTGAACTCACGACTGCCTGCTCACAAGGCAGGCGCTTATGCCGCTGAGCTAAATCCCCAGCCCCCAAATCTGTCATTCTTACGGGCTTTGGGAAGCCCTTTCCACCAAAACTATGAACCTGTTCTTTTTCTAATTCTTTATAGGCTTAATTTTACAGTTAGACCTCTAATTCATCAAATTTATTCTTTGTACGTTAATTATTTAAGTTCAGTTTTTCCCAGTTTTGAAGTTCCTTGATCCAACAATTAAGACAGTTTTTCAAATTATTTGAAATGAATTTCATAGTATCCTAAATGCTCACAAAAATGTATTTCACAGCTGTCTATACAGTGATAGGAATACCTGGTGTTTATGTTTTTTAAAATTATGGTAAAAGATACATTACCATCAATTCACACCTCACTGTTCCTGTCACTTTTCTGAAGCAGTTCTGTAAGTCCTCTCTTTGAATGTCCTTTTCTGTGTTAAAAAAATCCAGTGAATGCTGCCATTGAGTGCCATGCAGCAGAAATTCAGGCGCATAAAAACACTGTGGTGTGTTCTTTTCTACCTTCTTCACTGGCTCGTGCAACTTCTGGTTCTTCTTCAAAGTCAAAATGACTGTTACGGATTAAACACTGGTAGTCAGCTTAACACCAACTGAACTAAATTAACATGGTGCTGAATGTAGGCAGTCCTCCTGAGGGAAGTTGCCACATAAAGAGAGACATGGAGAAGAATAGCTAGGCCTTGTGGGTTCTCATAAGTTGCTGTTTCAAGCTGTTGGTTCTCCTGGAGGAGCTTGTCATGCTGGCTTCCCCAATGTGAATCTGACCATTATCATCAGAGGAACTTAGGACCTTATCATCGAGAGTGGCTGTGGTTCACTTTGGAAGAGCTTTGGTTCTTACATTAAGCATCACTTTCTGGCTCCTGAGGGGAAGATGTGTGCTGTTTAACCTCTAGGAGAAGCTTGTCACGCTGGCTTTCTGGCATTTACATGACCATTCTTATTGTTGGAAGAGATTGGGACCTCATTGTCGCTGAGGATGGCTGTGGTACTTTTCAGGGCGGCCCTGGTCTTTGAGTGTGACTTCTTGGCTCCAGTGTAGAACCCTCAACCTACTGGCACAGCTTCTTTACTCCAATAGCATACTCTCTAGCTTCTACTGCTGACCTTTGGGCCTTCCCAACAGATCTGTAAAACAGACTGATGAGAGTTCTTGTGGGCTCTAGGTCTCCAGTTGAATCTGTGGGAGGCATTGTCAGGGGCTGTAGCTCTTCAGCTGGACCGTACAAGACATTGTTGTGGGATTCAGGGCCTTGGCTGAATATTCTGTCATCAGTGTTGTGCACAGATTTCCTGCACTTTGTGTTTAACACTGGGTAACCATCATACAATAATATTATAAATTCTGTGTCCAGATTGTAATTGTTCTCACAACCCCTGACTACAAGGACCATGACGGGTAAACACTGGAAGCAGCCACGACAGTGCAGTTGAAGACCTGATGACGAATGACTTCCAGAACTGATTCAGAAAGCAGAAAGAATGATGAGGTAAGCATTTTAAAAATGAACGGGGAGCATTTTGAATGGCATTAGTGGTAATTTAAAAAGATTTTAATATTCACACTATATTTAGATCATCAAGCATACAGTAACTTTTTAAAATAACTATTATAGAAAGTAATAAATTTAGATTATTCTTCAGATAAACTTGAAAATAGACTTGTCCAAGTAAGTGGGTAGCCCATGCTTAGAATACCCAAGCTATGAAACTTACAAGTTCAAAGCCAACCTGGGCTACATAAAGATGCGTTGTCTCCAAAAACAAAGATTCTCCCAAACTGACCTATATTGGTAATTATTTTTTTAAATTTGTTTTTGTGGTGCTGGAGATCAAACCCAATTGTCTGCTGTGGAGCTACTTTCCCATCCCTGGGTAATTACTGAATCAAGTTGATTTATTAAATTATTCTTTTAATATATTTAAAAATTCTGAACATGGCTTTTTAAAAGGATTGATTAGTTTATTCCCTGGAATATTATTCTTAAGATTTTGGTCAGAAATGTATTCAATTAAAATTAATTGGTACAGGTGCAAAATTGTCTTCCCATTTTAGATGTTTCTTCTAAAAAGGTTTTAAACATTTAATTTTTTGTTTTGATATGTTTTATGCTTGTTTTTATTTAAAAACAGTGATTACAGTCTGGTGTGGTGGTGGTTGGTTGCTTACAAATTGCAGGAGTCTGAGAGGCTGAGGCAGGATGATTTCAGGTTCAAGCTAGCCTTGGAGAGACCCTAAATAAAATAAGTAACAGTACAGTCGGGGTGTAGCTCAATGTGAAAGTCTTGGGGTTCATTTCTCAGTACTCCCTTCCAAAAGAAGAAAATAGAGAAAAAACTTTCTTTTTCCCTGGTCATAAGTCTAATTGCTTTACTCTCCTTTAATGATACAACTCCTTTAAGGAAATGCGGGGCCTGGTTTTTTACAGCACCATGTAACTTTGTTTCTATAGGGTGATGCCATTCTTATTTTGTAATATCTGTCTCCTTTCTTCCTGATTATATTACTGTATGATTTATCTACTTTATTGATTCATATCTGATTCTGATTTTCTGGCTGCATTAACAGCTGTATTGAATGTAGTTTTCATACCATGTAACTGATCCATTTAAATTCACAATTCAGTATTTTTACTATATTCACAATTGTGCAACCGTCAACACAATCTAATTTTGGTACATTCTCACACCAAAAAAAGAAACTTTGTACTTTTTTTTAATTTTATGGGAAAAAGGTAAAATTTTATAACAAAATGTACTCTGAATTCTATTGTCTCCATTTCATTAACATGTCTTTTAATGCAAGGAAGAATAATGAAATTAGAATAATTTCTCTTCTTCACTTCTATCATTATTTTAGTTGATCATCTCAATACTTTGCAGTTTTTGAGATTATTGAAACTACTTGATTAACATAATATATTCTGATGAGAAGTCAGGGAGCACACTTGTTCCACTTAATTTGCTTCTTACCACAAGCCACTTTATTACTCACATCAGTACTAAGAGCATGTGTGCATTATAGTACCCTGTAGCTCTTGATTATCATGCTGACACACTTCGACAAACTCACTGAGTTAGAGGACACTCTCCTGTTCCTACTGCTAAGATACTCAGCTTGCTTCATCCAAGGTGAGACATGGCCCAGCTCTGCCCTCATCTGTCATCCTCTGTGGCCACAGTTTGGCCTGAGTGTTCGTCTCATGATGAGTAAAATCAAGAGAACAAACAGATGAAGCTCTGGACTGTCATTTCTGTGCCCAGTCCATGGGCCAAAGCAGGCCAGACAGCCAACTACCAAGTTGCATTCCAACGCAATGAACCTGGTGAGGGTGAAGAATTGAGAAAAATACAATCTGTGACATTATATTAGTATATTCTCATTTGCTTTATGCTAAATTAGTCTTTTAATTTTTGCAGTGCTGGGGGTCAGTGCTCTGCCACAGAGCTACATACACCCAACCCTCCTTTGGCTTTTTAATGCACTACTTAGAACAGGTGACTTAAATCCTTGTCTAGTATGTGCAGTGTCTGCACTTCTTTTTTTTTTTTTTTTAATTTTATTTAAGGAGAAAAGAAAAAAAAAGCAGAGAAAGGGTACAAGTTATACAGATTTGCAGAAAAAAAATGAACAGTAGGAAATCACTAGTTAATGGATTACATATTGTCATCTTAGAAATAATTGTTCAAGTCACAAAATTAAAGCTTGTAAAGTGGACATTCCATCAATGATACTGCAAACAGTTCTGTTCAATGATCCAATAAAACTCTGTGATATCATATTCTGTCTTATACACTTAAATATACATGCAGTTATACAGTTTAGAGCACTTTCTTTTCCTCTCTTTTGTACAATGACTATTACACATTTCGGGTTTCATTGCTGTCACGGTTCTTATTACTTTTTTGGAAGAGAGTAAAACCAAATGTGACATAACAGAACAGAATCGGTCAAGTCAAAAGGGTGGACATAATAGATAATATAAAAACATAATTCAAGGTGATCAACAATGGTTACCATAATGCCTCCCGCTATCTCTAATAGAATTGCCTATACCATTAGTTATAATACAATTGAACAAAACAGTAAAGAACAAAACCGACAAAACCAAACCATTGGAGACATTGTAGGTCTTCAAAAGTAGATAAAAGTCAACGAGAATGGGCATTATAATGAATCTCATTATCTTCACAGCTGATGCCTAAATTTTCGAACCTGATACTATCCAGCAAAACAGAATAGGGGAACATCAGTTAAAAACCAGATGGTGAGAGTAATACAGGGCTTTAAATCAAGGTAATGGAAAGTCAAAGTGGGTTACTATAATATATCCTGCTATTTTTTTTCCTTTAATTAAAAGGATAAAAATTTTTAAAAAGTATTAAAAAAGTAAATAATGGAGTGGAGATTGAGATAAAAGAGGGCATAACAACGAAACAGCACAGATCAAAACATAACCATTTAAGCAGAATAGTGTTTCACCACCAGATAATCCTGACCTAAAAGTAGTTACCATATTGTCTCTTTCCTTGAAATCCTTGAGTACAACTTCGTATACTGTAGCATTAAGTATATCAAAACAATGTAAAACCATTTAAGAGAATGACAGCATTACAGAGTATTTAGAATCGACTAACAGAAAATGAATAATGGTTTCTGTATAATCTCCTTGTCTTTAAAAGGTTTTTGCTTATACTATCGTACATAATAAAATCCAGTAAGATACAACCTATTTAGACCATTGGAGACAGAAGGACAAAAGCTAGATGAGACTTCAAAACAAGATGATACTAAATCAGTATTACCTATTAAGATGTCATTTTCTCCAAAATAGCTGTTCCTATCATCCAATCTTCTCTGCCTCATTTCTGTTGAGCTCTTTTTCTGTCAGTAGCTGTCAGTTTGTCTTCTTCACTTTGTTCTCTGCTCCATTTGTTGTGGCCTCCACTATTTCTGGATTCTTTGTATTTTTCTTTTTTTAGAATATCCTGCAATACTCTCTGTAGAGTTGAATTGGTGGTTGCAAATTCCCCCAGTTCCTCTTTATCCTGGAAGCACCTTGTTTTTCCATCAATTTCCAGGGACAGTTGTGCAGGATATCTCAATCTTGGCTGGAGATTATTATCTTTCAAAGCTTGAATTATTTCCCCCCACGCTCTTCATGATTTGATGGTTTGTGCAGAGAAATCTGCTGTAATTCTGATGGGTGCTCCCTTGTAAGTGGTCTGTTTCTTGTCTCTGACAGCTTTTAATATTCTGTTCTTGTATTGAATTTCTGGAATTTTTATTATTATATGCCTGGGTGTTGCTCTGTTTGGGTTGTAGGTAGCTGGGGTCCTGTATGCCTCATACATCTGAGTATCTTTACCTTTTGCTAAATTAGGAAAATTCTCCTGGATTATTTCTGTGAGTAGCTTTTGTAGTTCATTTGATTGTGTCCCTACTTCTTCTTTTATGTTCTTAATCCTTATGGATCCTCTTATCATCTTCTTGTCTTTGTATTATTGCTGTTTGTTTCTTTGTTATTTTTAAGAAGTTTTTCATTTCATTCTCCCATATTACAATTCTGCCCTCCAGTTCAGATAGTCTGTCCTTAGTTTCTTTCAAGCTGTTATGCCAGTCTTCGATAGACTTCTTAGTTTCTTGGTAGTCCCTTTGAACCTGCTTCACGTATTCTATGCTTTCCCTGTTTTCTCCATCAAACAATTCTCCCCTCTTTTTCTGTTCTTCCATTCCACCATCTGTTTTTTCTTGGGTGGGGCTTAGCATTTCTCTAACTATTTTGCATACTTCTAGCTTCAGGTCGTTGATAACTTCATTCCTGAATTGGTCTATGAGGCTCTCTATATGGTGCTTTATGTGTATTGGTGCAGTGTCCGCTATTGCCTGTTTCTCAGAATTGGGGGCCGAGGAGCCTTTCTTGTTGCTGCCTCTTCCCATATTCTCTGTTCCTTATATATGCAAGCTTATATGAGAGGCCCAGCTTCTCTCCCTGTCAGCCACAGCCTGATCAAATTGCACCGGTTAGGTGTTCCCACTCACCGCTGCGCACCAGGCAGCCCACGCGGGGGCCCGCCCCTCCCGGCTTCCGTCAGGCTCTGGGATCTGGGTTGGGCCAGCCTACGGGGTCCGGCCAGCAGCGTCACGCAGGCCAGGCACTTTTCACCAATCCCGCCCGAGAGGGGAATGTGTGGCTGGAGTCGCCACCACACCCTGCTCCCGCAGGACTGCTCGGGCCCAGAAAGTCCCCCACTGGAGTCAAACTGTGGTGGAGTGTCAGTTTCTCTCACTCACCTCGCCACAAGTCAGAACATGCCTCCCTGCCCGTCCTGTTTTCGACTCCGTTCGCAGACTCCTGTTCTCAGAGTTTCCGCGCGCCTCTCTCCTTGCCGAGCCGATGTAGAGGCAGCCAGCCACCGCGCGGCGGGAAACCCAAATCGCGGCTTCCAATGGCGCAGGGTCCAGCCTCAGCAGCGAGACTTTTCTGTT